CGACTGATTTCTAATTTCCTAACTTACAAAGAAAACAAACAAACAAAACCAAACCTAATTTGAGATCTGTTCTGAACTCTTTTATCACACTATGACCCACTAATAAAGTTCCCAGAGCTGACCAGAACCACTATCCCACCCCAGCCAGCCATTCATTGCCACTGTTACATATGAATTTGCAAATAACCCTTTCTTTTCTTTATATCCACTGCCTCATTCCCTGCTCTACACACACTATTGTCTTTATACTCTCCACCAAAGTAAGCATAATCTTCAGACTCTACCTCTAAACAAAATTTGGCATCAGGAGACTGAGAAATTTAAGAATGGCATGGAAATATCTACTGCAGCACATCAAAGAACAGGTGAATTTTAACATGATGTTTAGGATAAATCTCCAATTCATTCAACAGCAATCTATTGAATGCCTACTTTGCAGTCATTTTGGGGAATACAAGTAAGATTTGTTCCTTGTTCAAGGAGCAGAGGTATAATAGAAGCTCTTACTGCTGGGCCAGAGTATCAAGGGCCAGGACTTCCCATTGACCATGGGCAAACCACCAGTTGTCTACATTTCCAATGACTAAAAATAACCAGGGCTTGCATGTTATAAAATTTAAGTAAAACTGACTTGAAATACAAACTACTTAAAATTTTTCTGTGCTTAATTTTAATTAAAAATGTTATTTCTGTCTCCTCCTTTTTGTCTTTTGCTTTGTGGGCTGTTTTCCTAGCCTTTTTCCTGGTGATTTCAAAGTATAGTCTTTTATTCTGCTAGTGGTCACTTTGAAATACCATTTCTGTACTCTAACAAAGTAGAGGATAAATTGCTTATTTTTACCTGTATTTAAAAGCTCATTTTCCAGTTCTGGCTAATTTTGAAGTTTTAGACCCTGATGGTCTCTTTACATTGTGTCATTTCTAAAAGCAATTCTTTAATGTTTACTTATATTGGTTAACAAAATTTCATTTATTTTGTCATTCTGAAGGTTGACTGATAAGGACCTACATTTTCTAGAATGTTTGCAAGAAGGATATTATAAGCTCTTCTCGTCTGAGAAAATGATTTCTTTAAAACCTCTATAAACTGGCACTTAAATACCGTAGGAAAACATTGAGACAGTTCGAGTATGTTCTATTTTTTCTCATTGGATTAAGTATTTTCCTCAACTCATTCATTTCACTTATGCTGTCTGAAAACAACTCTAAGTAGTTATGTATGCCTGGAACTATAACCATGTCCAAAACCAACACAATTCCTTAAGACAGGCAGAATGACCTCCAACAATATCCAAGTCCTAATCCTAGAACCTGCAAATGTGAAACGTTACAAGCAAAGGGGAATTAAGACTGCCAATCAGCTTACCTTAAAATAAATTACTTCTAAATATTTGGGTGGGCTCAATATTAATCACAAGGGTCCTTAAAAGTGGAAGAGGGAGATAAGAGAGGTCTGTGTGATGCAGACGCCACCTGCTGCTGCTAGATTTGAAGATGGAGTAAGAGACCGTGAACCAAAGAGGCATAGTCTTCAGAAGCCGGAAAAGACCAAAAAAACCTTGCCTCCCCTAAAGACTCCAGGGACTAATACAGCCCTGCTAACACCTTAATTGTAACCTAGTGGGACCTGTGTCAACACTCCTGACCTACAGAACTTTAAGTTTTTAAGCCATTAAAAGTTTGTGGCCTTTGGGAGCCCGAGATGGGCAGATCACAAGGTCAGGAGTTTGAGACCAGCCTGGCCAACATGGTGAAACACTATCTCTACTAAAAATACCAAAATTAGCCTCGCGTGGTGGCGCATGCCTGTAATCCCAGCTACTGGGGAGGATGAGGCAGAATCGCTTGAACCCAGGAGGCAGAGGTTGCAGTGAGCTGAGACTGCGTCACTGAACTCCAGCCTGGGTGACACAGCAAGACTCCGTCTCAAACAAAAAAAAAATTGTATTTGTTGAAAGCAGTAACGTTAACGAATTCAAAATAACAAAATATCCAAATACACAAAAGTATAAATTGTAGTTAAGTAATTTGAATAAAACATGGCAGATCAACTGAATAGGGGAGAGCAGTCAGAAAAGGCTTTGAGGAAGTAATGTTTTAGCCGAGATCTAGAAGCAGCAGCTGCATCGGCCCTGCCAAGTGCGGTTGGATGATGTTTGCCGCTCAGACTTGTGCTCAAGCTATCAACTTTATGAAAATACTCTTGCTTCCCCTCTACCCTCACTAAAATCTGTGCCCCCAAATGTTAATATTGTACTCTCATCTTTCAGTGATCCATGCCACCAACCTGCCTAGGTATCCTGCGTGCTTCAGGGAGGGAAGACTTTCAGTGGTACTGTCAACAGACATGGTACACAAGGCTCAAGCCTGAATGTGACTTTGTCCCTCAGACCAAGTTCAGGTGGGCAGAGTGGAGCACAAAATTCACTTTGAAGGTTGAAGAAAGGTTTATTTTCCAGCTGGATGTGAATGTGATAGCTATGACAGCTACCTTTTTGACCAAGATGGGAAAGCCTACCCAAGCTTACAATTTTGGGGGAAAGACACACACTTAACTTGCCTAAGCTGTTAATGGAGGAAACTGGTACTTGAACCCAGAATTCTCCATCCTAAACATTACATTACACTGTTAAGACTTCTTAATAGTTATTTAAGCTTCTCGACCAATTAGCCAAGTACTACATGACTCAAAACGAATAGAATTCAAGTTTTAGTTTACATTTGTTTCCTAAAATTAATCTGAGGTGCCTTTCTCAACTTCCCTTTACCGTCATCCATCTTCTCATGTCACATACAAACACGAAGTAACTGGCATAAACATCTTTTCTAACTCTGAAATTTAGATGCAGTCTTAAGAGTATGAGAAAGTACCATTTTGACAATTATTTTGAGGGTAAGACTAGAAAACTGTGGACTGTAACTTTTCAACACAGAATCAAGGGACTTTTAGATGAAAGCCTTAGACGAGAATCTAAATGCTGAAGACAACCAATGTCTAAAGACATGGCTTGTACCTTGTGCACCTTACTTGTTCAGAATGATGGTGGCCACTGTTGACAAGAGCCAACCAAGGAAATCCAGGTATAGCACAAAGACAACTACACACCTGGCCTGTTAGGTGCTGTTACCAAAACAAAGTATCATTGGAGAAGAAAAAGAGAAGTTACTGAAATTGGAGAGGAAGGAAAAGCCTGTGGATTTAGAAATAAATGTGGGGTTGGAACACATATTTTTTCAGCCAGCTGTAAAACTGAGTAATGACTGCATGAAACAAAGTTTAGAGTCTCTTACCTGCATATAAATTCTAAGGTGTTTTGTTCTTCTGCTTTCTTATAGCTCATCATTTCCAATAATTCAGGGTAGCAGATAATATTCTTATGTACAGCAAAATCAACAGGTATTTCTCAAAGTACTTGTCTGCGCAGCATCCTACCCCAAAGATTCTAGTCTAATGCAGCTAGATTAAGGTTCCAGGTCTTTATGTCTTAATAATTTTAAGACAACTGGTTAAGAATCTTTTCTTGGTAAATGCATAATCACTTTAGAATTCCTATCACCACCTTACAGGAGCCCAACTTTCATCTACTCTTGGAACATTCACTAGTCTCATCGTTACCCCAACCTGCTGAATAGTGTGGTATTCAATCTGGATCAGTACATCTCAACAAGTGCAGAACTGATGTTGTCAAAGTTTTTTTTCAATGTTTTTCAGTCTACATAAGTTGAAGTCAACATTAAATGTACTAAAAACTTCACAGTACATGTGCTTTTATAAACAAATGTATGACAATTAGTACACGCTCACCTCTACTGAACGTACTCACAAATCTAGGTCTTAAGAGAAAAGTAAACATGCAGTTATTAAGGATGTATATTCAACCTGAGATCTAATTACTAAACACTTAGGAATATACTAACATTTCATTTCGGGGAACTTACTACCAAACTCAAGTCTTTGTTATTTACCTTTATAGCCTGTTAAATACTTGTCCCATCAGTGACTAATGCATTTATGCTGGCCTTTACTTAAGTCAGCCCTATGTATCTGTGGTTCCTGCATCCAACCACAAACAGATTGAAAATAGGAAAAAAAATTTCACAACGTCCCCAAAATCCAAACCTGAATTTGCCACACACAAATACTATACTGAATCTACATGAATATTATCTAGGGTATTTTATCAGGTTATTATACAAGCAATATATAGACAGCTTAAAGCACACCTAAGGACGTGTATAGATTTACATGAAAATACTGCACCATTTTATATAAGGGACTTGAGCATCTGAAGAATTTGGTATGCACTGAGAATCCTACCAATCCCTCCATCGATACTGAGGATCAACTACGCTACAAGTCTGCATGAGCCTAGAATTCTTGTGTTACTGTCCATAGGCAGGCACAACCTTGTACCTTATTTAAAAAGTATTTACAATGATTCTTTGAATTTTTAGAGCTGCTGAAAACATACCGTTCTCATTTAATGTTTTAGAGTTAGTACAGACCCATTAACAAATATTCAACCCAGGAGCCAATAAGTATTTGACATTTATTAGAAGCAGGAGTTTAAGACTTTTTATATACTTTGGCCTCCTCTCTTAAACTTCCATATTATCAACTGGCCAAAAAACACACAAAAAACAAAAGAACTCCCACCTTAATAACATGTGTATAATATAAACAAAATGAAGATGCCTCAGACTTATCAAGATTTAAGGAAACTCAAGTGTGATCTGAGAACTTGTCAGATTCCACAAAAATACTAGGCAGAGGATAACCTTTTAAAATTGACATATTTTAATCCAGAGTCCATTTACCACCTTTCCATTCTGCTTGAAAATGAACTTCTGATCTCATATGTACATATTTCACAGTAATGAAGGTTAAATAAGAGAATCCAGACAAACAACTGGTCCTTGTCTCCATTTCCCCAATTAATTATTAAGTAACAACTTTTAGACCATCTATAGCGACAAAACAAAAACGCCATCAAAACTGCGATAATAACCTTGAAGTTTTTATTTCAATATGCTCGTTCCAGACAATTTCTTAACAGCTTTAAAATGCAGTATTTTATTTATTAACATTAAATGCACTACAACAGCCAGACCAAACTGTAAATACAGAATTAGGCACATCTCAATGTTGTGTCTGTGTTTACATTATTGGATAAATTAAGCATTCTTCAACTTTTCTATGGGTCTTATTTATAGAATATGTGCATTTGCCTAATGACCCTTTAAAATACCACATATGGAATTTAATTTATCAAGGCAGAAAACTACATTAATTTTGACTTTAGTAAGAATGTAACTCATACAACCACTAAGCTAAAGAATAATCTGAAATCTCAAGTGGGCATGATGATCTTATTTCATCAAACATCAAAGCCTGGCTCTGTGTATATTAAGCTCTCCTTACCTTTACTGCTCAGTTGAGACTCTTAATTCTCTACAGCTAGACAAACTATGCAGAAGTGTCAATTCAACAGTGTATCATCAAATACATAATAAACTTTAATGTGACACTGAGTTGTTCTCCAGAAGTTGCAGGTTGCATTTTGTCAGGAGTCAGTGTGTCTTCAAACTACAGGAGAAAACCCAAGTCTGGCTTGTAGTTAGGTTTGCCTGTAAAATGAAGATCTCGAAAGTTTTCAGTAAAATCACCAATACTTTGCAAGCAGCTTTAAAAAGAATTCCTAAAATGTTAAGTGCTTTCTTTCCAAATATAGGCTAAAAATAGAAAGTTGTACATGCAAACGCCAAAAAAAAAAAAAAAAAAAAGTTGACCCATTTTTTTCCCCCTCCAAATAGTTAAGGCTATCTATTAAACCTGAAGCAACATGACCTCTTAAGTATCAAGCAACTTCAAGGTTAAAGCATTTTAAGAACAAGAGTCAAAACTGTTTTTTCTCAGGTCAGAGATGAGGCCATTATTAACTTGTTCACTCATCCGAATTTCAAAATGGCTAAATTAATAACGTGAATCTTTTTATACAATACTTACATGGCTTTTTGTTGGCATTCCTAAGAAAATCTTAATAGAACCAAGAATGTAAAATTAGACTCACATTCTAAAGCCAGAAACAAATCAAAAGCAATTCCTATTAAACTCTATAAAACCACTGATCACTACCAATCCCACAACAAAACATACACATTTATTAGCTTGCTGATTAGATTTAAATCTCAGTTCAAGACCAAGTAAGTTCCGAACACAATGAATACTACAGTTTCAGTATCTAGGGAGAAAAACCATTTAAGTCTTTGTTATTGTAACATATTTGACTACATTTTAGACTATTTAAGGAATCATGAAGCAGGCTTCCCATCACACTGTTCCATTTTTTAAAAAATTGCTAGTATATTTCCCCAAAAGCTTTAAAGTAAAATGACATAGTCTGACAAATGTAAAACAAAATACTTTCCTCACTTATAACCACAGCACACCATTTTGCAAACTACCAGAACATGTTGTATGATGATTTTTTTTTTTTTTTTTTTTTTTTTCTGGAGACGAAGTCTCACTCTTCCGCCCAGGCTGGAGTGCAGTGGCAGGATCTCAGCTCATGAAACCTCCGCCTCCCCGATTCAAGTGATTTTCCTGTCTCAGCCTCCAGAGTATAGCTGGGATTACAGGCGCACGCCACTGCACCTGGCTAATTTTTTATATTTTTTAGTAGAGACAGCGTTTGACCATGACGGCCAGGTTGGTCTCCAACTCCTGACCTCAGGTAATCCGCCTGCCTCAGCCTCCCAAGGTGCTAGGATTATAGGTGTGAGCCACCGTGTCCAGCCGCAACTTTTTAAGCATAGTTTTAAAGCTGTGTTTGTCACCAAAATAACCAAAAAGACGCAATTATTAGGTCTCCTTCAATTCAAAAAGCTTAAGAACTCTGCTAATGTACAATTTGATTTCCATTTTATAAATCACTGTTCATGTCACATCCTGCAAATCTTTTCATCAACTCCAGAATGATGGAATTCTTACCTTTCTATTCAGGAATCCAAGATTAAGTTCCTTAAATTTTTTTAAGAACACGTTACAGGTAAAAACTTTTGTTAGACTTCACACATTATTTTTAAAAGCTGATTTCTAGATTTATTGGGTGGTCTAACCTAGTGTTATGGAAGTTTATTTCTTATTACTAAGATAGCCTCTTTTACTCCAAAATACAATGACATTTCTCAAACCTTATTTTTTAAACATCAAGTTTGCCTGTACTTCGGCTTGTGTCCAATTTTACCACTTGGTTCTTTTAAGTTTATTATTCAGGTATTCCACATTTTTTGACACATATACACATAGGTTAGAGACAAAACACACGAAGAAAAGAGAGAAGGTAGAAATGCTGGATAAAACACTAACTGCCGCTTCTTAGTTTCCACTTCAGTGACTAAGTCAAGTAAGCCTGGAATCAACTATCACTGTTGCCAAAGTCTGGCTTATGTAGGGAGTAGGGAACATAAATGTTAACTACAGACTTAGAAATAAATGAGTATCTGAATCTCGCCCCACCGCTGCACTCTTGGCATTTAGGAAGAGTGTACACATACATTTATCTGTTACTCTATTTAGCATGAGTGTGTTCTTTTTCTAACTCCCATTTTTTTAAGTTGCAGATGCTAAAAGCAGTCTGAGGACCTTGGTCATTTACAGCTTATTAATCACTGACAATCAAAGAAAAACTAGTATACGAGCATTTAACAGTTACACATCAGTTACTCATGTATTGGTAAAGAAGTACTTGCTTAATAGAAACAAACTGTACCCACCCTAAATTCCATGCTTAAAAAAACCCATCTTTACACATTGCTTTAAACAGAGCAGCATTCCCTCTAAATTAAAAAACTTGAGTAATATATGCGCAACATAGATTAACTTTTAGATTAAGTAAAATATCCTGGAATAACACTAACTCCAAAGAAAGCAAAAAGGTATATTCTAACTTTACAGATGATCATCATGTATAGAGTATGTTTAAGCACATCGCAATACTTAACAGCCAAATAAATCTAACAACAAAAAATATAACCAGAATTTATACTGCCAAATCTGACACGCAAACCAAAAAGTGAAATGTTTTTGGATGAAAACAAGATGTATTTAAACAAAAAGTTACACATTTTCTTTAATATTTCATATCTCTTGAACATTTAACAGTGGAAGTCGGAATCTTCAGTAATATTTAATTTTCAAAATCTTCTGGTCACAATCCCCACCAAACTCAACAGGCCGGGACAAGTGCAATACCATACAGAAACACAGCATTGCAACCGATCCCAACCTGTGTAGAAAGGGGTTTGAGTTTCCCTTACTTTTCTACAGACTTTTCACTACCACAGTCAGTTTTGCATGGATTTGCACAGCAGAATATCACACAGCTGGATGCAAACCTGCAAAACTAACCATAGAACAGTGTTCAGTAACAGGACAGTTTGATTGGGCGACAGGCCGAAGCTGGAGTTCTACAGCTAGCAGTACTTTAAGTGCTCATAATGCAGTAGATAACTAAACACTACCTGCACTATAAGCACTTTAGTGCTACAGAAGCTGTCACATCAGATACACCAGGCAGATTCTACATCGACACAATAAAAGTACACAAAATTAGTAAAAATCATTCATTTGAAGGAAATAGCAGGCCACCATCAGTTTTGCATAGATTTGCACAACTACATTCTTCTTGTAGTGCAACTATGCAAAACTAACAGAGGACTGCAAACAAAAACTATTAAAACACCTATATACTTGCTTGACTTGAATTATTGGATGAATACATAACTTCTTATGCCAGAAGGAGCACTTAGGGCAGTAGATGCTAATCTACTTCACTATCTGCACTAGATGCACCTTAGAACAAAAAGCACTCAACAGCAGCAGGCCCTGCACTTTAAAGCCCAACTTGGCTTCCCGAGGCAACTGTCACCATAATGCTACAAGTGCCTTCACTGCAGTAGATGCACATATCACTACCTGCACTGTAAGCACTTTGACATTATTCTGACTGGTCACAATCTTCAGTTTTACAAGGTGATGTTCTCTTTATTCCTGCTAAATTTGAAATAGATAATTAGAATTAACGCCTCCAACTCTAACAACTATAAACCATACAAATTCAGCATAATCCCTAATGGGTAAGAGAAAATTAGTTTAATTATCTCAAAGATATGAGGTCCATTTAGACACGTATTTATGCCTTAAGAATTCTTTACAGAAGGCAATCATAACCAACCATCCAACTAGCACTGGAAGTGGTGGCTCTTCCAATGGCTGGCCTCTCCCAAATGGATTGATACATAGAGAAAAAACAAAACAAAACAAAACAAAACAAAATGAGACTGCAAATAAATGAGAACTAATTTTGGAACATTTAAGGGCAATTTAGTCCATGTGTACCTTTTAGAGGAAGTCTTCACATCCACGTGGCAAAACATTTTCCTCTTCTTCTGGCTTCCACTTAGCGAATACTTGATGAAATGATTAACAAAATTACTGTTCAGACTACATTTCAAGTGTTACCAGTCAATTGTAGCAGAATTTAAACATCCTGTTTAAATCTATCATCCCAGGTTATATCTACTTTATCACCCAAAAGGATCTAAAATTGTATTTCGTAAACTGCATAAGCCAGCTTCCAAAGATGTACAGGGATATTTACACTGTAATTTTACTAACTTAAAATTAACAAATCCGTACTTAATGAGCTAGTTTTTCAGAAAAAGTAAATTGTCTAAAGGAAGAAACACCTACTTTTACTAAGAACCCAATCCTATAATATTTATTCAACTTTACTATAATAGCAAGAGAAATTTGTTTTTAAGAAAAGTTCAAGAAAATCAGAATACACTTACCCATTCCATTAAACTTCCTTTTCAGCAAGTATCCTCTGAAAAGCTAGTGGTGCAGTTAGCTCCACGTGTATGACTGGAGTAGGGGAAAATAAGGAAAAAAAGATAAACATGATTTGCTCAAAATTACCACCATCGTCCAAATCTATATTTGCTATTTTCCAACGTCCTAATTAGCAATTAATTTCACCCATTTGCAAAACTGAGAGTAAGAGTCGGGCAATATTAGCAGGATTTAAAAAACCAATAGGTATAGTTGAAAAATGCGTAAGAGAATAAAGTTGAAAAACCCTTAGCTATCAGATACATGTCTTAATAAGCTTCTAAAATACTTGATTATGATCAGCAGCAATCATTGACTACACTGTACAGCTCCAGTAAAAGGGAAAAAAAAGCAGCCCAGGGACTATTCTTCACCACCCCTCCCCCAATCAAGACCTCGTGGCTGCAAGCCGGGATAAAGAGTTGTTTCTCCAACTGCTGTGGTCCTGATGGCATGCCGTTAATTTTCTCTTCTGGTGATATTACAACGACGAGCCTGCCTTTTTCAGTTCCTTTTCCCTTTGCTGCAGTTTAGGAACAGAAGACCGGGCAGGAACACCCGAGACTGCAAAGTGCCCGCCACGCTCATGGAGCCCGGGCCGGCAGCACATGTCGCACAAGGGGGAGCGCGGCCCTGCGATTCCCCG